TTATTAATGTACTTATGCTTTGGCCAAGGAACAGCAGCAGCAGCAGACACGAGGAAATTGCGTTGTCAGCGGCAGCTTTACGATATACGTCTTAGCCGGGAGTTTTCCTTGTTTTGTGTGTTATGAATCCTTAATGTCTGACTCTGTGGAGTCCGCTGAAAAGCGGAAAGAAAAACTCCCCCAAAATGAACAAAAATTTCAATCTACAAATCCGAAATGCTTTAAGCGGTAATGTGGGATGGCAAAAGGTTTATCTAATGGGGTTTACAGTATCAGTTACTTAGGTTAAATTAATGGCATTCATATTTAGATTTTCTCTGGGAAAACATTAAATATTCTTGCCTATTAATAAAATCTTATCTTATCTTAATCTAAAACCAAAAACATTTTCAATGGGACTAAATTTTGTCTTACATCGTTTTCCCATTAGCTTAACAGCTAAAAGCACCCTCCAGGGAAATAATCCTCCGCCAGTAGTTGCCATTTTTATTATGCGATATTTTCCGACTTAACATGAACATGCGCCTTATGCTTTCATCTCTGTACGCCCCCTCTTCCCGCACTCAACCAAAAAATTACAAACATTTAAAGTTTGTTTTGGCAATAAAATAAAAAAGGTGCAGACACAAGGGCCCCCTTCGATGTGTGTGTCTGTTCTGTCTGAGGGGCAAGCATTAAATATGCGGCAGACACGAGTGTACTTGCCTCATGTTGAATGTATGCAGCATACATTTATGCGCCACTTGTTTCTTGATAATTTATTTAGTCAGAAAAGCAAAAGAAATAAGAGAGAGAGTACAAATTTAGGCTGGAAAAGTCAGCGGCGGCGGCAACAATAAAATGCGAGGCGTGAAAATGCCAGAGGCCTAAAGTATTTAACACCAACTACAAATACACGCACATCTTTGCCAACGCCGCCGCCGCCGCCGCCGTCGCAGTCAAAAACAAATGGGCAGCGGCAGGCAGGATAATTGCCCCAATGGACGTGGCAATTAACGAGACCGTGAGCCGCAAGGATATGCCTGGACTCTGGACAATGGTCCCGTAAGTTATGCAGCACAAATTGCAAACAGCTCTCAGGGAGTTGAAATATTATTGGTGGTGGTAGTGATGGTAGTGGTGGGTCGTAAAGTGGCATTGACAACGGATCAATGCGGCTGTATAAGAGGGGTTTACCTTCCGCCCAGCTACGAAAATTCAATCAACTTCCCTCTTTATTTGTAGGCCAATTAATTTTGGCAATCTAACCGGTAAAAGCCATCAGCCTAGACAAGTGAACCTGCGATGATAAAGCCTAGATAAAGGCACTGAGAGGAATAAGTTGGGTTTGGGAATTGAAGTTTTAAGGGAAAGAAGAATATCTTTAGGCTATTAGGTAAGCTCTTTATATAGCAAATGTATATTAATAGAAGTTTCAAGTCACATTCTTTACTTAAGTTTTTAAACTTAAAAGGAAATAAATTACAATCTTTTGAAAAATCTATAAAAATATTTACAAAATTCACTTATATTTACCATTCATTGCACTTCCTATCTTTACCTTTTGTAATAAACTGATTTTCACTAATCATTTTCATCTTTTAAGCTAAAACTTTCAGTTAAGTTTTTCCAAAAACAAAAAAGTAATCGAACTTTTATTTCAGTGCCAGGAGGCCATTTTCGGTGGCAGTCATTTCAAATGCAACTTGCCAGAGTGCAACATTTCATTTTGGCTTGCAAAACGCTCGAGAATTGACTCAACAAAAACCTCGACAAGCAATAAAAATGGCAAAAACAGAGACGAACCGAAAACTGCAAAACTAGAAAACTACAAATAAACCAAAAAAAAAAACAAAAAAGTGGCATAAAACTGTTGCGAAAATGCTTCTTTTGGCCAGTGTGTTTCGTTTTTGGCCAAAACAAAACTGCGACAAGGCACAAAGAACGAAATGAAAGAAGAAGCGAGAAAAAAAAGGATAGCAGCAGGAGCAAGAACAGGACTAAAACAAATATTCAGCAGGAGGCAAACTTTATTTCGGTTTCAATTTGCGATAAAAACAGCGACAACAGCGGCAAATGAAATTTAACAACTCGCCGAGGAGCTTGCAAAGCGAATGAGAATGGGAATGGGAATTGCGGGGGAGAGTTCATTGCGGGGCATTGGGCAAGGATAAGGCAGGCGGCAGGACATTGGGGGCGACTTGGCACAAAAGACGGGCGATGCATTTCCCTCGCTGCAATTGCTGTCGCTGCTTGTTTTTCCTTCTTTTTATTGTTTTTTTTTTTGAACATTCATAATAAATTTTGTGCTGCGAACCTCCTTCGACAGCAAAAACAAAAGGACCTGAAATATATATATCCTTTTTCCTTAGTTTTTTTTTTACTGTGTTCTATACTCTGCCGCCTCCAACCAGTTCAGAAATGTAACGGATGTTAGAGTTGCGCACTGAAAATTATATATAAACAGGATATGACAGGCAGGAAGCCGTTGCCCTCTGCCTCCCACTCCTTACCCTCACATTTACTATGATTTTCTTCCACCCAAGTCGAAGTGCATTGCTAAGCTTTTTCCTCACTTTTTTCTTTACTATTTCCTCGCCCTCCTTTCTGCTGCTTGAATTTTAATGCCAAATGGCATTCCGGCTGAGGATTGAGCCAGGACTTGGTCTTTCGGACTAGAGGAATATCAGACCAGCTTCGGATATGCCGCTGGCCAGGACTAAACGGCTATCAGGGGAAACAAGTTGAGACGCAAGTGACAGGAATAGCAGGACTATGGGGGGTTAGTGTAAAGGATATCGTGTCCGTGGGGCAATAGTTCATATTTAATGTGGTATGTTCGTAGTTTCTCTAAAATGTGTCATATATATGGAAATTGTTGATAAGCTGGGTTAAGGTGGGTAAGAAATGATAAAGATTTTGAAATAAACTTGAGCTGCTATAAGGATGAGGAATGTATTTTAAAGTAGTTAACCTTTTTAATGGTTTTAAGTTGAAACAAATGGGAAATTTATAATAATCTTAACCCAAAAATAAGTTTCTGTTCATAACATTCGAACTACCTTTCTGAAAATACCTTTCAAGCATTCTACAGGGGGGAAAACTCCTTCATTTTCCTCTTCCAACCTCAAAAAAAACAACACAAATTTCAAGTGCTGAGCAGCAAAAACACTCTGCTAGATAGTAAAACCTTAGTGTAGTATACGATAAACTACTCCTTTTGCCATATTTTATGCAACAATAAGCACAAGTGCAGAGCTTCCATAAATCACGCATACGCACTGTGGCCGGCTGCCTGGCGCAAGAGGAAAAACTATAAATAAACCAGACGACACTATAAACAACCAAGGAATGTATGTGAAATAAAGTTTATAAGCCATAACATCGCCTTAATTACACATATAGTACTTCATTCCTTGATAAACTTAAAAATCAAAACATCAAAAATTGGGATTCCTTTCGGGAATCCTGGAGGATAAGCATGAGCTGTGTGGCAGGTCCTTTTTGCCCTCTTATTTATATTGAACAACTTTATCCAATTTCTCGTTTTGCGCTGAGACCAGCACATCGCGCATAAGCACGTACAAATCGCATTTCTTAGGCTCCATCCTGCCGCTTTTCTGCTTCCTGCTTATCCTTTCTTTCTTTTTTTCTTTTTTTTATATTTGCCCCTGCATGTGGGCCAGGCTTTGGTTGTTTAGCTGTCAGATTTACTTGTCTCACTGGGTCGTCTGAATATCCTGGGTGCCCTGTATCTGTATGTGTGTGTGCCTACATATGTGTGCTATAAATCGACAGCTAAATCTGCAAAAACATTGATAAGACAAGCGACATGCCAATGCGGCCAAAGGCATTTTCCAAGCCAGTCAGCCAGCCAGCTTCTCGCCACCCCCAACTGATTTAACCCAAAATACCAAAACGAACCGAAAATGTTTAGCCAACTTGCTGCGAAATTGCTTTTCGATTTATTTTCTACACATCTACATTGGTTTATATATATATATAGAGAGAGAGATATATATGTGCATATCTGACAAATTGGGAGAGAGGTAAGGCATTGTGACAAATTAGTCTGTGGGCATTTGTTGCTACTTGCTGTGCTGGCACAAATTATGAGATCCTTATCCTCATCTCAACGATTGAGTAATAACCCGGCCGAGAGACACAATATTTGCCCAGAGAAAGAGAGGGAGAGAGGTAGAGGTAGAGGTAGAGTTTGTGTGTGTTGGCCAAATTGTGTTTGCCCCATTTTGGCCTGGGAACTGGGCCAAATTGGTTTGGATTTTGCTCGTTTGCCGGAATTTATAAAAATAAAAGACTCAAATTGTGCAAAATATTTTTGGCAAAATTTACGTTGCTACATATCAGCTGAAATTTCAATTAAGTGAAAGTTTGGCCAAAAAAATATATGGAAAGCATTTTATTAAAATGTTCAAATATTGATGCACATCAAAGGTTTCCAGCCAAAGTAGCAGTTTGATACATTTTTAGTTTTAAACGAGGAATTTATTGAATTTTACTTAGTTAGGAAACTACTTTTTGGGAGGTTTGGAATAGATTTTGTGGCACTGGAATTTGATTATGTTTTATAAAGGAAATTATAGAATATATGCTATTATATAGACACTTTAGCAACTTTTTAAGTGCAAAAATGGATGTGATTTGCTCTCTATTTACATTTTTTTACAATATTTGTTTAGACTTTTAATTTAAAGGTCTTTACATAGTGATTGAATGTGTAGATTTCAGATTTTAAGACTAAATATATTCCAAACTTTATAGAAAATTTAAGAAAATACTAATTTATACTCAACCTTTTCTTTAAAAACTTACATGTAAATATGGAAAATACTTTCTATGCCACCTTTATTAACACTTTTAAAGTCATTTATCTATACACTTCACATTTTAAAATCTTTTCTCTCTTTTCCTAAGTATTTTTAATAACAACACTAAGAATAATATCCCTTTTACCTCCAAACATAACTAAATCCCCAAAACAATCTCATAGCTAGACTCACCTAATGTCTTGGTCCACTGGGCGGTGGGTCGCCAGTCCGGATAATGTTTGGGGAAGAGTTCGCGGGTCCAGTAGGTGTGCAGGACAACCTTGTACACAGCCAGCCGGTCCAGAGTGCAACCCGTCTGCGGGGCAGGCTGAGTGGCAGGAGGCGTGGCCAGCGATGGAGTTGGATTCGGAATTGGACTTGGATCATCGGTATAGTAGTAATTACGATTTAAATTGGAATTGGAATTCTGTTCGGCAAACTTGATGTTGTTGTTGGTTTCCCGCTGTTCGGGTTGATTTTCAACACTATAGGCATATATAGATGGGTTCGAGATGAAGGAGGCGCCATAAGAACTAACGGCATACGCTTGAGAGGATCTAGAAAAGGAGGAGGAGGAGCCCAGGGCCACCAGGATAAACAGCAGCCAGTGGGCCGGAAAGTCTGTTTTCGGTGTCGCTCCCATTTCGTCAAATGTTGCGTGCTAATTCGCTTGTCCTCTTCTCTTCTCTCACTATCTCTCTCTTTTTTTTTTTGGTTTATTTTTGTTTTGATATAATTTATATTTTCCGCTTTGCTTTTCTTCTTTTCTTTTATTTTTGCCGCTTACACTTCACATTTGCCAGCGGATCTCTTAAAAATAAATGCACACACACACGCGGCTCACTCACATATTTATTTTTGGTTTCTTCAACTTTGCGTTTTCTTCACTTTTTGGACTTTTGGCGCGTAGCAGCAAGCTCAACAAATTCGATATGGCTGCGACTAGCAGACAGACAATTGGTACACTTGACAACCGCCCGCGTTGAGAGTTCGTCGCGGACTGAGCTAAATGTTGCGGCAGGCAATGAAAACATGAGCCAGCAAGAGAGTAAGTTGGTGGAGAACTGCAGAGCCGGAGAGCGTGAGAGAATTAACCATCCTTTTGTGCTGAGAGTAAAGTTCTAGAGAAATAGAAAAAAATACCATGTTGGGGAAATTCACAGCGACTAACTGTTGTTGGGGCAAAGCAAAAAGAAAGGAACAGCCTGTTGAGCTCCTTGTTGTTTGTTGTTGTCTAGGGATTTTTTATTTGCGCCAGCAGGCTTATGTTAATCCTTAAGTTATGTTAGGTTACTGTTAATGGGGAATTTTAACTGGTAATTGGGAAAAGGTAAGAAAGTTATTAAAATATTAAATAAATAGAAAAAAGGCATATATACAACAAAAGTTAAAACTTAAAAATTAAGAAAAAACAAAAGGATTTATATTTTATAGTTTACAAAAATAGAAACTCTTTTATTTTTATATAGAATTAAGGATTTTGTTGCATATTCTTGTAAAATTTCCCTTTTAGCTTAAGAATTGAAAACCATTTTTAAAATTCGAAAAAAATTAAAATATATAAATATAAAAGTCAAAATTAAACCCACGTTTATAAAAATCTTTCAAAAAAAACTCATGGAAATCCCATGTGAGCTCGATAATTTGAGACCCGCAAAACACTTGACATTTCCCCAGATGAACGTTAGTTGAACTCCCATTGTTGGCTTAACCCCCGACAGCGATTAACCCCCTGTGATTACCGTGGCTTGTGTGCTGCTTTTCCGTTTATGTTGTTGTTGTTGTTGTTGTTGCTGCTGTTGTTGTAGCTGATGATTGCCACAGGCTTAGTCGCATTTATTGCACATTTCCTTTCTGCCATTTCTGAATGTCAGCGTTAATGAGGCGGGCTTATGTCTACTATTGCCGACTATTTACGTATATAGGATGGCTATATATATCTATCTATCACAATCTACAACCATTAACGAGATTGTGTGTGTGTGTGAGTGTGAGTGACTTTTAGTATTGTGTTGGAACAATGAGAACAATTTCCGATTAAAACCAATTGAAGCTCTTTAATTGCTACAATTCAATTAAGCAACAACACGCTAATGGCAACAGAACTATCGATTTATTGAGTGGCGATGGTCAGCGATGGGCTATGGTCTATCATTTCTTTCGGAACTCCACTTGAACTCCACTCTCATTCCCTGGGTAATTGCCATTGACATGTGCCCACCCCCAAATGGCAATTATGCCCTTCTCGTGCCACTGAAGACCAGCTGAGTCTTCAGGTGGGAGCTTCCCGAAACTTGGGCACACACAATTATGTTGCACTTAAATGAGTTGTACGTGTCCTGTGTGTCCTTTATATATCGTGTCCTGTGATACGCTCGAGTACTTCTAAGCACTGAGAGAAAATAAGTTTATTTTTATAGATTTTCTAAGATTACAATAATGCTTGTTAAGAAGTAAGAAAAACTCATAAAAATGTTTGGAACATATGCTAATTTTTTGATATTAAAAAACTTTCTCCCATTTCCTGTTTAATCTACTTTAACGAACTTTCCCCAAGTGTATGTAAATTGTGCGTGCGTGAAATTTATTGCAGTTAATAATAATTGTCCATTCTACTTGAACGACGACCACAACGATAATGTATCCCCTCACCCCCTCTTACTCCATGTTTTTGGCCCTCACTAACCGCCTGTGGTCAATTATAAGCGGACAGTCAACCATTTGTCTTAGACGGTGGTCAGTTGGCCAGCTTTGTCTAGCTGCCCTTTGGGGGCTTTTTATGGGGCTTTAAACGCTGGGCCATTAGTTAAGTGCGTCATACACGAATGTATACCGTACCTAAAGGAATTTATTCAAATTAGGTGTTAATGTCCGTTTTGGTTAATGTTTATTGGCCAAAAGGAGGAAGAAGGATAAAATTTCAATTTTTGATTTCTGAGATTTGCTAAAGGGAGTAGCAAAACGCCAATTTATGATAGAGATATTAATTCCTTATTAAATACATTATTAATATTGATAGACTTAGCTTGAACTAAATTTGATCATAAAGGGAAATCTTAAAAAAATTATGTATTATTATAATTTTAAGCCACAAAGTCAAGTCGTAAATAAAAATCAAATATCAAAAATCCTAAAAAAGAAGTAAAAAGCTTACCAGCTTAGTAAAATCTTTGATATTGATTATAAACTCTACATTTAGATAAAAATCAAAACATTTTTAAATATTATGAAAGTCAAAAAATTCCCACAATCTTAATAATTATTCAAGTTTTTAAATAAAGTCGGTTTTTACTGCAGTTGTTAAGAAAACATTGGGAAATTTTCTCTCTTATACAGCGCATGAGTTTTCTCCCGCTCATTGTCCTAACTCTCTTTCTTACACACTCCGCCTCTCTTTTTTTTTACCCCGGTTTCTAGTTGCGCTCTCAATTTCTCTCACCTGAGCAGACAAGACATTTGTGTTTGATTGTCGGCAAAATACGGACGAAAATCCATTCAGGCAAAGTAAAATCCCAAATACATGAACCAGAAGAGACAGTGGGAAATGCGATGGATAGATTGTTGTTGGGGAAAATGCAGACTGTGGACACCAAAAATGTCGATGGTCGCCTCATGAGCCAGCGAATGGCAAAAATTCCTAATAAAGTTGGCATTTGACAAACAGACACGCAGACGTGCAGACAAACAGGATCCGTAAACTCCATATAAAACACATATATTCCATACCCATGGCTCTTCACCTGGTTTGGTTTTCCTGTTTTTTTTTTTGTTTTATTGAAAAGCGAATACAAAGCAACCAAAATACCAAATGCCACCCAGCGACTGTTGATGCATCTGCCATACGTCGGATGCATTTCCTCGTGGATGCTTTGGCTGGATATTTGCATAAAAACTATGCATGTGCTTGCCACCACTCTTTTCCCTTTTTGCAATAAATCCACGGAAAACAAACAACAACAAAAGGGGAGCAAAAGCACTATCAGAAAGTCAAAATACTTGGAATGTCTCTCTGACACTAACAATGAGCAACACATTTGCATGTTGCATGTTGCTGCTGCTGCTGTGCTTACCTCACATAGCAACTGATTTTTGGCCCATTTTGCAAGCTGGCCAATACCTTTCATCTTGTTTCCTGTTTGGCATTTTGAAAAGGTTGGCAGATTGCTATCCCTGACATGATGTTCACTCAAAATTCAGGCATTCCTAATTGAAAAATACTAAACTGAACTGATTTACAGAGGGAGACTAAAATATCACCCTAAAAACTGTTTCGGAAATAAATGTCTCATTTATAATAAAGAATTTCCCTGTCATGTAGGTAATTTATTTTAAAAAATGCGTCAGCCAACATTATGTGGTAAAAGAGGAAGTGGCCGAGAGTTCATTAAAAATGCTTTGGCACTCGTTCTAATTCCACAAATCATTCTACCCTTAAGTCGCCATAAGCCAGTGCAACGCCAAAAATTTGTCAGTTTCCAAAGGCTTAGAGCATAATTTATGTTTCGCTGGCGTTGGTCAGCCATAAGCAAATATATATATACATGGGGGGATATTCTATATAAATAAATAAATAAAATTTATATTTATTTTAGTTTTAGTGGTATTTTTCCTGATGCTACATGGCAAATGTAATTTGATTTTTTGTATGCTGATGACGCAACACTTACTTCCAGCAAACATCAAATCCATTGATATAGTTTAATGCAAATTAAATGGAATAACATTTATTTTTTGGTCAGTCTGTAGCTGTGTCTGTGGCTGTGGCTAGATTTCATTATGTGTCTGCCTGTGTGTGTGTGTGTCTATGTTTGGGCCAAAAATCCATTTCAAATCAATTAAAAATACATATTTGTGTAAAAGAACAGCGGCTGGCTGAACAATCGTCTGACCACGCATTATATAATTTCAATTAGGTTTTTGGGCAGTTCTATTACCCTTCGCATTCGCATTCGCATTCGCTGACACTGAAAATGCATTTTATATTTGGCGGTAATTATGCGGTGATTGCAATTTAGTCCGATTTAAGCGGCCAGTTGGCTTTTGTCATCGCTTTGATTCAATTAATTTTGCACGCGGCATAATGAGGCGGACAAAGGAAAACGAAAAAAATCTCCCACAGGCATATTTGATTGTTGTTTAGCCGGGCCGGGTTTCCCTTTAATTGATTCGAAATGAAGTGGAAATTGGTTTGATGCATAAGGCAATAGCTTTAGGGCTTATCTGTGGTGGTAGTGGTCCACTCTAATCACATCCTGGATTCATAACTAATTCAAATTTGGATTTGATGACAAGCTGACATGGAGGTATGAATGTGATTTGCATTATTTTGGCTGAAATGTGTTTAAGTAGCAGCTGTAAGTCCTATAAGTTGAAATAAATAAGATAGAAATGTATCTCATAGATATCTCAACATTCTCCTCCAACTTAGTAACAACTTTTAGCCAAAAAGTAACTCTGTTATAGGCGTGGTTCTTGCCTTGACAAAGCTTGCACTTTCATACCCTTTTCGAACTTTTTCTTTATGGCCTGAACCACCCACTTAGCCAGCTAGCACTTGAGGCGACTTTCCGGCTGCGCTTAATTAAAACGCAGGGTCACGTAGCCGCTGTCTAATCCAATCCGGACCCGCACTTCTGGCCCTGTTGTTGTTCTTACTCTGCCTGTCACTTTGGCAATTCCTTGGCTCATGCCCGATGGCATTTGACTACTTTGTGTGTGAGAGAGCCAAAAAAAAACCAAAGCGAAAAGCTAATTTGGGTGGTGTGCACTCTGCATTCGCCTGCCATTCGGTTCCAGTCGTTGGCGTTTTTCTGCTGCGGACGACTGTGTCAAAGTGCATGCCAAATGGAGAATTGCATTTCCAAACATTTGCGCAACATTAATTGCATAAATTTTAAAGGGGGGAGAGAGAGAGAGAGAGGGAGAGAAAGCGAGGGCGGCGTGGATATTTAAAGAGCCAAGGAAAAGTCATTAAAATGTAGTCCCCAGCCACGCACCCTTGACTGCTCGCACTC